CCCAGCTTCTTGTGCACCTTCAGCCTTCTCAGTCGGTAGAGCATGGGAAGCTGAAAAGTCCTTGACTAGTGTAAGCATTACCTAGCAACAACTAAAACATGGGTGCGTTATCAACTTTGTTCTCATCCTAAATCCAAAACACTGTACCAGCTACTAAAAAGGAAATTAACTCTATCCCTGCTGAAACCAGGACAAAAGAACAGAGGTACCCAGAAAGAAGAGTCAAAATGGAGAGGCAGGAGTTGCATTCTCCAGTTTAAATAAGGTTTATTTAACAGAAATCTGAAAGGTAAAAGGAGGCTAAAGCGAACACGGAGGTTGATGATGCATATTTCCACCTTAACATATGTGTATGACAACTGGGAATCCAGGGGAGGACCCAAGTACATAAATACATCCAAAAGCCCAGGAAAGATTTCCCAGAATTCAGGCCGCTGTCCTGGAAAGCATGCTTTTCTTTAACAATACTAGAAAAAAACCTTAAAAGTTTTAGTAGTTCTACAAATAGTAGCCTATAGTAGATAGAAAAAGCAGTCAGTGCTTTGTTGACGTCCTAGGCAATATCGATAATTCAGGATAAGTAGCCTCAGGGTGGATAATCTTTTACCCCCATTCAATTTTCCTAGAGCGCTCCATTTCTTAGGGAAGATACTCATAGCAGTCTCTTCTATTCTATTGCTATCTATAGGATAGCAATTCTATGTTTAGGTTTTTACTTTTTACTTTTACTTTCAAGGTATACAAAGCAAACCCAGTTTGAAATCCTGGCGTGATAGATTTATCTAATAACAATTTAAAATCGTTTCTAACTTTTGTTTTGGATGGCTTGTTTTGGTTTGGTTTGGTTTTTGTGGGGAGGGGGTAGCTTTTATACCCAGTATTTTTGGTTTAGACTTGAAAAAGAGCCCAAGTGCTTAAAGGCTTAGCTGGGTTTTTTCCCACCTATACCAGTTGTTCTTACAAGAGCTATTATCTACAAACCTGGTTTAAGGATATAGGTAGGATAATGACAGTTACCCTGCACTACTGTACAGAAATGCTTTTGTTTGTTTATATCTTGCAGCGATACAAGCTTATTTGGAAATCTGGGTCTTAGCTGCTGCTGCACCTCTTCCCGCATCAGCAAAGATTGCAGACTTCCCCAGCAAGTTTTCAAGGCGTCTATTGCAAGTCTGCTTGTTCTCTAAACGCAGGGACAACAATAGCTTATTCAGTCTCAAGCAAGATCTTCAGGGCAGAGCAAAATGGTAATCATCTCCCTTTCAGAGGGAAAAAAAAGAGAAAAAAGGGAAGAAGGATGCAGTACCATAGATTTAATGCTGCTATCAGACAAAAAAACCCCAAACCATAATAGTTTCCTCTAACCAGGTCTGAATCAAGGGTCTATAGTGGCACTCAGAAGAAAAAAAAAATCTCTTCCTCTCACTTCTCACCCTCCATTTTCTTTTTAAACTCTACTTAATACAAGCTCTTTTTTCAGCACATCCCTTTCATAAACTTCTTGTTAGGTAAAGGAGAAACTGATTTTTTTCATCAACTGGCTCCCTCTAATATCTTGTGAATCCTAGAACTTAGGGATGATACTGGTAATAGGAATTTTAATTTCCTTTTCTCAACTCTATGTAAGTAGAGACTGAGTTTAGAGGATTATGGAATGTTTCTGGTAGGATACTTTAATTTTGAAATAATAAATAGTTACTTCATTGAAGGGTTGGAAATTTTATATCCAAGGCAAAATCTGGGTTTTTAAAAACTCTCTGTGTCAAGAATTCAGTTTATTTGGGTAACCACTATTTTAGAATACAATTGTGTGACACTGACTTGAGCTGTAAGGGAAGCAGTTGCTAGGCTCTATGAGGTTATTAATGGAGTTGAGTCACTGAACAATTTTGTCAGTATTTGCAATGTGAAGAAATGATTTCTCATTCACTCTCAGGAAAGAGTGATGGGTTGTGTATTTTTCTGCTTTTGCGTAAGACTTTCAGGTATCTTATGTCTGTTATATGTGTACCCAAGAGATGTATCTTCCCAGTTCCCACTTCAGTTGGAAAGATATGGACGCATTGCCTAGTTAGCTTGAAAAATGAACCAAAGGCAGTATGGTTTTGTGGTGGGTTGATGCTGGCTGGATGCCAGGTGCCCACCAAAGCCGCTCTATCACTCCCCTCCTCAGCTGGACAGGGGAGAGAAAATACAGCAAAAGGCTCATGGGTTGAGATAAGGACAGGGAGAGAGCACTCACCAATTACTGTCACGGGCAAACCAGACTCAACTCGGGAAAATTAATTTATTACCAATCAAATCAGAGTAGGGTAATGAGAAATAAAACCAAATCTTAAAACACCTTCCCCCCCCCACCTTTCCCTTCTTCCTGGGCTCAACTTCACTCCCGATTTCCTCTACCTCCTCCCCCCGAGCAGCACAGGGGGACGGGGAATGGGGGTTGTGGTCAGTTCATCACACATTGACTCTGCCGCTCCTTCCTCCTCACACTCTTCCCCTGCTCCAGTGTGGGGTCCCTCCCACCGGAGACAGTCCTCCGTGAACTTCTCCAACATGGATCCTTCCCACGGGCTGCAGTTCTTCACAAACTGCTCCAGCGTGGGTCCTTTCCACACGATGCAGTCCTTCAGGAACAGACTGCTCCAGCGTGGGTCCCCCATGGGGTCACAGGTCCTGCCAGCAAAGCTGCTCCAGCGTGGGCTCCTCCCTCCACGGGTCCACAGGTCCTGCCAAGAGCCTGCTGCAGCGTGGGCTCTCCATGGGGTCACAGCCTCCTTTGGGCACATGCATATCTGCTCCACCGTTAACCTCCATGCGCTGCAGGGGGACAAGCCTGCCTCACCATGGTCTTCACCACGGGCTGCAGGGGAATATCTGCTCCAGCACCTGGAGCACCTCCTCCCCCTCCTTCTTCACTGACCTTGGTGTCTGCAGAGTTGTTTCTCTCACATATTCTCACTCCTCTCTCTGACTGCAGTTGCTGTTGCACAGCAACTTTTTGCCCTTCTTAAATATGTTATCCCAGAGGCGCTACCACCGTTGCTGATGGACTCGGCCTTGGCCAGTGGTGGGTCCATCTTGGAGCCGGCTGGCATTGGCTCTATGGGACACAGGGGAAGCTTCTAGCAGCTTCTCACAGAAGCCACCCCTATAGCCCCCTGCTACCAAAACCTTGCCATGCAAACCCAGTACAGGTTTCTTCTCTGAAGAGATACGGTTTTGATCCATTGAAGTAATCATGCTGAGAATGTATTACTGAGACAACGCATTCATTCTGAAGACCTATGTTTCTAGAGTTTAAGGGTTAATAAAACTTCCTTGGGAGGAAATAAAAGCTTCAGACTGGTATAATTCTGTACATGGAAAGGAAATTAAGATTTGTCTTACATTACTCCACATTTATAGAATACTTGAGATCAGAAGTGCTTCATACACTATATGTAGGACTCAGCTCACCTGCTGAAATCCTGTCAGTTGAAACTACAAAGGCATTGACTTGGGCAGACCCCAAGGCAAAAGTTAGATGGACACAAAGCATCATGTTTTGTGTCACAGAACTTGTCACAATATTCCAGAAGGACAAGATTTTAGTTTTTCATTGTTGCCTTAGCAAATTGTTGTCACGTTGTGAACGTAGTGACTCAGAGGCAAAATGCCGTATTTATTTATTTATTTATTTATATATGGCAACACATTTGTTTTCATAGATTATCATAGAGTTTAAAGCCAGAAATGACTCTTAGATTGTCTAGTCTGACCTCTTGTATATCATAATCCAGCAATTGACATACTAAGGGTAACAACTGATGGTTAGACAGTTTTTCTAATGGGAGAATGATGTGTGTTTGACTCTCTTGGGCACAAAAAACTGAAAATTGCATTCCTTGGCAAATGCTGTAACTGTTATGAAATTGTATAAAAGATGGGTATAAACCTCTCCAGCTACACTGATAATAAAGCAAGAATCTGAAACTCCATTTTATAGTCTACCCAGATCTATGGGCCTATTTTGAGGAAGCCCATCAGATCATTACTGGAGGAAGGTTTAGACTAAGAAACTAATTTCTAGATTTCAGACAACCTTTGGTATGAGGTGAAGTAGAATGGAAAAAAATGCCTCTTCTTCTGGCACATATTCTGGGCAGGTTCATATTCGAGATGCCTTGAGAATATAAAAATCAAAGAGCAGAAAGTTTAGATACTTCTAGTCCTGGGTGGAAGCTGAGTGGGGGTTTTAAAGTTGCTGTTCTGGACTTGTGCCTACAGTGGGATCTGAGGTGGAATGCAGCTGCCCAAGTGTTATATGAGGCACCCAAGGCTTTAGTCAGATATGCCATAGCATGTTTGAAGCAGCAGCTGTTCTGAAATCTTTGGAAGTTTAACTCCAGACCCAAATCTTGATGTTTTCTCTCCTGACTTTTGATCTCTCCCTTTCAATCGGTGTGGGAAGGAGAGATGGTAAAGCAAGCTGTGTATGGGAAATTAAAATGAGAACAAAAGCCTGTCCAAATTATGCAACAAGGATCATTATGCTATAAAATTGCTCTTCAAATGTGGCTGTCATTGAAAGATATTAAGATTTCAACAGTTATTTTCTTGATGAAGACTTAATTTCTTGCATAAAAAGGTTTTTAAGCTTGAAGCTGTGCCTACACAATTAGTGTCCTTTGGTTTTTGGAATGTTTGAAGGGTGCTAAAGGATTTGAATGTTATAGAAGTATTTTTCGTCACTACAGATCAGTTGTCTCAAACTACTTTCACAATAGCCTTATAATGTAAACAATTTACAAGTGTAATGTGTCGGTAGAGACAATGATCACTAGATCATTTTGCAATGGAACGTATGCAGTTTTAGGAACTCAGTGCAGGCTGAGTACAGCATGCTGCTGTATCTAGGACTAGAGTTGGGGTTGGACAAAAACAAGCAGTAACTAAATTTGACCTGCTAATTCAAAGGAGAACTTTACTGGAATACAGCAGAGAACAGAAGCCACAGATCCCCTTTTTTAACCCCATTCTCTGTTTCTGTTATGGAATGGGGTTTTCCTGTGTGCAGCGAGGCAGAAATAAGCTGTTTTAACATACCAACAGTGAGAGCGTTTGAAGAAATAAAATCTGTAGATGATATTCATGATGGCGTTGTTGTTTAGTTTCTGCATGGTGATGTACATGTCACTGGAGGGCTCTGCTGTGCATATCTGTAATCAAAGTGCACTCTTTGTCCTAGGAACAACAACCTGACATGTGGTTTTAAGCAAAATTATTTTGAAGAGCACACACAGGCTTTCCTTCCTCAGTTTTCCCCCTAGTCATCCTATACTCATCAGTTACATAGTTTTTCGTTGTGGGATTGTTATGATACCCCAGTGCTTGGGATGGGAAATCTGGCCCGTTTCTAACTCTGTCTTTCTCCTGCTGTGTGGTCCTGGGCTCCTCTTAAACCTCCATCTGTAAAAGGCTCTCTGTCTACTGAATGTTTAAAGGACAGTAGGTAATTATTTTGTGGGTTTATTTAATATATTCCCCCAATTCTTTTTCCATTCTTTTCATCTTTGGAGTTGCTTTAATCTAATTTCTTTATACAAATTCACTTTTTTTTTTCCCTCCAGCAGAAAAGATAATTGTATATGAACAAGAATATTCACTGTTATTTTTGTTACTTCTTTTTTTCCCCTTCCTTTTCTTTTTACACATTTATATTACAGATGTGCCTGCTGGACTTAGCTAGCATTTTAGTCTCCCTATGCTAGATGCTACGTAAATCCAGTAGGAGACAGGACCTATTAGGAAAAGCTTGGAATCCAAATAAACAAGGCAGCACATATTATTAGGTAGAAGAGGCACAGATCGATGGTATGGCTTGTCTAGGAAGGTCAATGGCTAAGCTAAATACAGAATCCAGGTCTCTTGAAATTCAGTCCCACTAATGACCCACTGACCTACGCAACCTCTTTTTTCATAAAGCATCAGTAACTTTAACTGGGTAGAAGCAGTGGGACTGTGTGACTGTCGTGGTTTAATCTCAGTCGGCAACTAATCCCCACGCAGCCGCTCGCTCACTCCCCCCCCGGTGGGATGGGGGAGAGAATCGGAAGGGTAAAGTGAGAAAGACTCGTGGGTAGAGGTAAAGACAGTTTAATAGGTAAAGCAAAAGCCACGCACGCAAGCAAAGCAAAACAAGGAATTCATTCACTACTTCCCATCGGCAGGCAGGTGTTCAGCCATCTCCAGCAAAGCAGGGCTCCATCACATGTAACGGTTACTTGGGAAGAGAA